GGATCGTGGCCGTTGATCATTTTGATCAACGGCCTGGATTTATTGGGGAGCCGGGCGGGTTGGATCAAATGGGTCAGGAGTTGGGTAATTTAGGAATTGGGCTGGTCCGTTTGAAATCAAAATTGGGATTTAATTGGGGGGTTGATTTGGGCTACAATTGCAATGAAATAGGGCTAGTATTTAAATAGCCACTTTTTGCCTCTTCATTTTATAAAAATAGTAAAATAATTTCTGAAAATAAATTAAAGGTGCTAAATTAATTAACAATATATAAATATTAAATTAAAAATACTGGAATCAAATTTGGTAATGATAAACGCAATTAATTCTTAAAATAAGCTAATATTGCAATTATATGCAATTTAGCTTTAAAAATACTAAATAAATTTGTAAAAAAGTGTAAAAATTACCTTAGCTATATTTTGGGATAAATATGAGAATAATATAAATTAATCACCAAATGATAATTTGAGGAATAATTATTGGTTTTTTATACTGCTAAAATAGGGCAGTAAATCGATTTAAAAATCTTTTAAAAAAATTAGCAAGAATACTAAAACATTTGGGCATCACTTATATATGCATACATATGCTATTTTAAAAGTATTTTGCATATAAAAAATATACATGGAAAAATTGGGTATCAACACCACCTAGCTAAACTCCAAGGACTCTGCCTCCGATAAGTCAAAACTCGCTACCGGGTGTATGAATACCTGAATCTGCACACAAGGTGCAGGGAGTAAAGTGAGTACTCCAACTCAGTGAGTAATAAAGGTAAATAACAACTGAGCAGTAAGAAATCACGTAAAGCAAATCAACATGCTGTATAGAAGCAGAATAAAATCCTTTAGGAAAGCAATGAAGCTGTGAAATCTCTCAAAAACATCTTAGTTCAGTTTAAACTTCTTTGAAAATAGCCTTTTCAACAATTACGCAAATGAATGCAAAAACAGTTAGTGCAGATAAGCACAGAAATCCGCCCCTCGGGCACAAAAACCGTAGTTTATCAGTTAAAAGTGGTAAGTAAATATGAAAAATAAACATATAAAGGTTCGCCGCTCGGGCAATATCTCAGAACAATACCAGCCCCTCGGGCTCACTCTCAGAACAATATCAGCCCCTCGGGCTCACTCTCAGAACAATATCAGCCCCTCGAGCTCACTCTCAGATCAATATGGGTACCCGCGCTCACTGGGGGTGTACAGACTCCGGGAGGGGCCCCTTACGGCCCAAGCGCAATATCAAGTCATCTCATGACATCAAATCTCGGCTCTCGGCCTCATATCACTCAAGCCACCTCATGGCGTATATATGTATCTCAGGCCCTCGGCCTCATATCACTCAGTGTATCCTCACATATGGCCCTCGGCCGCACTTAGTCCGAAAATCATCACAAGCCCCTCGGGCATTAGTAAAATAATAGTTCTCAGCCCAAAACATCATTTAAAAATATCATTTAAGTCTCAAAACTAGGTAAAAGTGGCTGAGTTGTAAAACAATGGAAAACAACATGACTGAATTCAAGTAATAAGTCAATACAGTGAGGAAATAGTGATAAAAATCCCCTAAGGGTTCAAATAGTTGGCACGAAGCCCAAATATGGCAATCAGCCCAAGTCATGATGTTAACAAATAAGTTTCAGTCAAATACGCGGTAAAATCATCAATCGGGACGGACCAAGTCACAATCCCCAATGGTAAACGACCCCACGCTCATCAACGAGCGCGTGTCTCACCTCAATATAGCACTACGATGTGCAATCCGGGGTTTCAAACCCTCAGAACATCATTTACAATCATTACTCACCTCGAACCGGCGAAATCTCTAGCTCGCGACGCCTTTGCCCCTCAAATTGGCCTCCACGCGCGTCGAATCTATCCAAAATCAGAACGAATATATCACAATATGTTAAGGGAACGAAGCCCAAGCGAAAACAATCAATAACGGGCACAAATCCCGAAATTACCAAAACCCGAGCCTCGGGTCCACTTCTCGAAACTCAGAATTTTTCATATGATTAGATTCCTTATCTCCCCACGAGTTCATACATATCAAAAGTTCTCAAATCCGACCCTAAATGGTCATTCAAATCCCAATTCAAAAGTCCAATTTCTCAAGCCCTAGTTCTTCAATTTTTGATTTAGTTTTCATGATTTCTAGGTGGAATTCACATAATAATCGAGTATTGAGTTCAAAAATCTTACCTCCAGGTGTTCCCCTTGAATCCCTCTTCCATTAGCTCTCCCAAGCTCCAAAATCGCTCAACAATGGAGGTTCTTAGCCTCAAAATCGCGGAATGGCCTTTTTAAAACATTCTGCCCAGCACTCAAAAACCTTCTTCGCGATCGTGGCACTAGCCACGCGATCGCGTAGCACAAATTTTAAATTCCCCAAAAATACTCTATGCGAACGCGACAAGGGCCCTGCGAACGCGATGCTTCAGCCCTCTACACTTACGCGAACGCGATCTCATCCACGCGAACGTGATGCACAAAGACCCTCAGACCCCAAATTCCTCTACGCGATCGCGATTGCTCTCACGCGAACGCGATACCCTACATCCCAGCCTTCCGCGAACGCGAAGCCCTATCGCGAACGTGAAGGCTAAATTCCTGGCCTTCCAAAATCCTTCTACGCGATCGCGATACACCCTACGCGATCGCGAAGGGCAAATTTCTCTGCAACCTGAACCTGCATTTTCTGCAATCTTTTAAGGCACAAAGTGGTCCGATTCACCACCCGAAACTCACCCGAGGCCCTCGGGACCTCAACCAAACACGCTAACATATCCCATAACATTATTCAAACCTGTTCCAATCATCAAAACACCTCAAACAACGTCAAACCCAAAACTCATCGAATTCAAGCCTAAGTTTCCAAAAACTTCCGAAATACACTTTCGATCAAAAACCCGACCAAACCACATCCGAATGACCTGAAATTTTGCACACACATCCCAAATGACATAACGAAGCTATTGCAACTCTTGGAATTCCATTCCGACCTCTATATCAAAATCTCACCTATTCACCGGAAAACGCCGAAATCTCACTTTCGCCAATTCAAGCCTAAACCTTCCACGGATTTCCAAAATGCATTCCGATCACGCTCCTAAGTCCCAAATCACCTAATGGAGCTAGCCCAATCATAAAAACTCCGATCCGAGCTCATATACAAACAAGTCAAATCTTGGTCAAACCTTTCGAATTTCAAACTACAAGCTGAGAACTGTTCTTCCAAATTCGTTCTGATTTCCCTGAAAACCAAAACCAACGATCTACATCAATCATAACACATCACACGGGGCAAGTCATGCCCGAGAACTGGCGATCAAAGTGCAAAAGCTCAAAACGACCGATCGGGTCGTTACAACTATTTATTTAATTAGTTTTTTAAAAAGACTTAACACTTTTTGGTCAAACAATATCCTATCAGGGTCGTTTGATTCAATTGTAGGATAAACAAGAATATCCCACGGGTTGAGATATCTTATTAGATTAGCTAGTCCATTTTCTATATGGGATAGCTAATACTAATATTTTGGTGTAAAATCCGAGATAATATAAATAATCAAATATGAGATAAATACAATCTCAAATTCTATCCCGAAATTAATATTCATATGCCCGTAACCAAACAACCCCTAGTAGCTCAAAATCCATTAAAAGGGGCCATGGACGATGTCGTGTCGTTCACTGTTACTCCTACTAGTAATTAATCTGAAAAATTTTAAAAAAAAAAAATTGAAAAAGGAATATAACAAAATCAAAACCTTCTCCACAACTCTGCCGCTGCGCCTTCATCCCCTATTACTCCTTCCCCACGCAAAAAACTCTCATATATATTTTAGTCTTTGGCACTCTTCCTTTGTCTCCCTTTTCACTCTATAAGCACAGGAACTTCTCTTATGAGGTCAGTAAAGCAATCTTCAACTGTAAATATCTTTTTCTTTTTTTTTACATCATTTTTTTTGTTCTAAACTCTGCTTAATAAGTTAGTTTTGCAAATCCAGGATGTTACAGAGGCTTTATGTAGCTGATTTGAACTAATTTTTTGGTTGAGGTGTAATTTTTATTCATCGAATGTTATTTTGTTGTTCTGATTTTTAGTTTGCTCTGTTTTTGCTAGTATGTTAAAAACAAAATGTTCCCAGCGTTGTACTGAACATTTTCTGTGACAGTTACTTGCTCTTTCTGTTCCATTTTTTAAAATTTATTTCTTTTTCTTTTCACCTTTTGTTTTTTCTTTCAGTTTTACTAGTCATAAAATTTTGGGCGAGGTGGAGGCAGATATGTTTTTACCTATTTTTCGCTCTTATTTATTTGTTTATTTATTGAAGGCCTAGCCCTAAGAAAAAAATTGCTTGGTATTGGAATGAAATGGACTTTGATAGAGCGGAATGGATTAGAGGACTCTATAGCAGACTTTAGAAGCAGGGGCGAAGCCAGGAATTTCGCTAAGGTGCTCAATAATGTACATGTATGAAAAGTAATTTTGAGCTATATACACAACATGATATTTCGACAAAGGGTTTTCAACTGACCACTTTGTATGTGGTTATGCTACTGCTTAGAAGGGGAACCTTGGTGCAACAATAAAAGTTTCCGATGTGCGATCAGGTCGTCAATGGTTTAAGCCGCAGAAATAACCTCTTGTAGAAATGCAAGGTAAATCTGTATACATAAGAAGTAGTATTGGTCGGCCCTTTCACGGACCCCGCGCATAAGCGTAACTTAGTGCACTGGGTTGCACTTTATATAGCGGACCTTAGCTAATTCAGGATTGAGGATAGTTGATTGATTTAGTTTGGATCAGGGGAAGGAAGGGGAAAGGAGAAGTAGAGGTTGAGAAACATGGTAAGTTTTCGTACCGTGTCTTCAATCTAAAGACAGTGACGAGTGACGGCCTCCATGTTAGCTGTGTTTTAGGAACTAAAATGTTAGGTTTCTAAAAATTTATTCCTTCTCTAATGTCAGAACTGCTCTGGATATCATTTGTTATTGATGGTTTGCCAAAATTTCGGAGGAATTTAAAATGTTGCTGTAATGCCAAAGCTGTAATCAATCTTCCGGCTTGAGCTGCATTTTTATAAAGATCTTACATTCTTAGTGCCTATGAGTTGTCCAAATACATGTCTTTATATTTAGCTTTCTCTGATGCGGTGATGTTTGTGCTTGCTGTTACCTAGCCTTTATCATACACCTTAGCGATGATTTTACAGTCTTTTGGTACTTACTTAAAGTGTAATAGGCTATAAAGGGATCAACTTCTTATTAAGGAGGAGTAGGTGTGACATTGCAGGCGGGGCTGTAGTCAACTCTTAACAAGTATTCCATATAATGTTAGTGTTTTTCCTTCCAATTGTGTCTCTACTAGTGTAAGTATGCTCATGGAAATAGAATTTGGAATAAATACATGAAGTCTAGCTTTCACTTCATTTATTCCTAAATTTAATCTTTTCTTTTTTTGGGTTTTTTTTTGTGTGTGTGTGTGGGTGGGGGGGGGTTGTGGGTTCATATCTACTTGCAACTTGATACTTAAAAAAGTTTATTCCTAAGATTAATTGTTAAGTAAATAGGAGATAAAATGTAAATTTTGAACTTGACAAGGAGTAAATAAGAAGGGGGCTTTGGTTGAGTAAAGGTAGCACAATGATATGTGTTATAGGTGCACATCACGAGTTCAAGTCTTACTGGTGAATCAAGCTAGGTATTTAAGTAGAGAAGGATAGAGGGACATACCCATTATCCACCAAGTTTCGAAGCTGAAGTACAACAAAATTCACGGTTATCAAAAAAAACTAAGATTGGCCAAAGTTGTGATTTTCTTTTGCATTATGAATTTAGAAAGTAATGGACACCGGAGTCTTGTGAAAGATAAATCAGATCCATCTCACCTTCCTCTTAGGGGTTGATTTTGGTTGATTATTTCAATAGTTTACAAGGTTTAGGAGTAGTTTCCTCCATGCAAGATCTGTTGTTTACAAGGTTGATTATTGGTTCTATATATCTACTTGTAACTTGATCTTAAAAAAAATTATTCCTAAGATTAATTGATATGTAATAGGAGATAAAAATGTAAATTTTGAACTTGACAAGAAGTAAATTAGAAGGGGCTTTTGTTCGAGTAAAGGTAGTACAATGATATATTGTTGTAGGTGCACATCACGAGTTCAAGTCTTACTGGTGAATCAAGTTAGGTATTTAAGTTGAGAAGGATAGAGGGACATACTCATTATCCACCAAGTTTCGAAGCTGAATTTTTGGGTTTTGTGTGTGGGGGGAGGGTTTGGGGGAGGTTGTTGGTTCATATCTACTTGCAACTTGATCTTAAAAAAAGTGTATTCCTAAGATTAATTGTTAAGTAATAGGAGATAAAAATGTAAATTTTAACCCTCGGGGTTGGCCTCGTGGCAATAGACTTGAGCCTTGGGGTTTGCTCCCTTTCAAGGTCTCAAGTTCGAAACCCACTGGGTGCAAACAATTTCTGAGGGCCATCGGACTGGGTAAAACTTGAATTAACCGTGGTGCACTTGCGGGAAACTCCTTGCCGAGGGCCTGTGCACCCTCGGGATTAGTCGGGGCTCTTAGAGACTCGGACACTCGGTGCAAATCAAAAAAAAAAGTAAATTTTGAACTTGACAAAGAGTAAATAAGAAGGGGCTTTGGTTCGAGTAAGGTAGTACAATGATATGTGTTGTAGGTGCACATCACGAGTTCAAGTCTTACTGTTGAATCAAGTTAGGTCTATTAAGNTTATCAAAAAAACTAAGATTGGCCAAAGTTGTGATTTTCTTTTGCATTATGAATTTAGAAAGTAATGGACATCGGAGTCTTGTGAAAGATAAATCAGATCCATCTAACCTTCCTCTTGGGGGATTGATTTTGGTTGATTATTTCAATAGTTTACAAGGTTTAGGAGTAGTTTCCTCCATGCAAGATCTGTTGTTTACAAGGTTGATTAATGCTTCATATCTACTTGCAACTTGATCTTAAAAAAAGTTAATTCCTAAGATTAATTGTTAAGTAATAGGAGATAAAAATGTAAATTTTGAACTTGACGAGGAGTAAATAAGAAGGGGGGTTTTGGTTCGAGTAAAGGTAGTACAATGATATTGTTGTAGGTGCACATCACGAGTTCAAGTCTTACTGGTGAATCAAGTTAGGTATTTAAGTTGAGAAGGATAGAGGGACATACCCATTATCCACCAAGTTTCGAAGCTGAGATACAACAAATTTCACGGTTATCAAAAAAACTAAGATTGGCCAAAGTTGTGATTTTCTTTTGCATTATGAATTTAGAAAGTAATGGACACCGGAGTCTTGTGAAAGATAAATCTGATCCATCTCACCTTCCTCTTAGGGGTTGATTTTGGTTGATTATTTCAATAGTTTACAAGGTTTAGGAGTAGTTTCCTCCATGCAAGATCTGTTGTTTACAAGGTTGATTATTGGTTCATATCTACTTGTAACTTGATCTTAAAAAAAGTTTATTCCTAAGATTAATTGATATGTAATAGGAGATAAAAATGTAAATTTTGAACTTGACAAGAAGTAAATAAGAAGGGGCTTTGGTTCGAGTAAAGGTAGTACAATGATATATGTTGTAGGTGCACATCACGAGTTCAAGTCTTACTGTTGAATCAAGTTAGGCATTTAAGTTCAGAAGGATAGAGGGACATACCCATTATCCAGCAAGTTTCAAAGCTGAAATACAACAAAATTCACGGTTATCAAAAAAACTAAGATTGGCCAAAGTTGTGATTTTCTTTTGCATTATGAATTTAGAAAAAAATGGACACCGGAGTCTTGTGAAAGATAAATCAGATCCATCTCACCTTCCTCCTAGGGGATTGATTTTGGTTGATTAATTCAATAGTTTACAAGGTTTAGGAGTAGTTTCCTCCATGCAAGATCTGTTGTTTACAAGGTTGATTATTGGTTCATATCTACTTGCAACTTGATCTTAAAAAAAGTTTATTCCTAAAATTAATTGTTAAGTAATAGGAGGTGAAAATGTAAATTTTGAACTTGACAAGGAGCAAAATAAGAAGGGGGCTTTGGTTCGAGTAAAGGTAGTACAATGATATGTGTCGTAGGTGCACATCATGAATTCAAGTCTTACCGGTGAATCAAGTTAGATATTTAAGTTGAGAAGGATAGAGGGACATACCCATTATCCACCAAGTTTCGAAGATGAAATACAACAAAATTCACGGTTATCAAAAAAACTAAGATTGGCCAAAGTTGTGATTTTCTTTTGCATTATGAATTTAGGAAGTAATGGACACCGGAGTCTTGTGAAAGTTAAATCTGATCCATCTCACCTTCCTCTTAGGGGTTGATTTTGGTTGATTATTTCAATAGTTTACAAGGTTTAGGAGTAGTTTCCTCCATGCAAGATCTGTTGTTTGCAAGGTTGATTATTGGTTCATATCTACTTGCAACTTGATCTTAAAAAAGTGTATTCCTAAGCTTAATTGTTAAGTAATAGGAGATAAAAATGTAAATTTTGAAATTGACAAGGAGTAAATAAGAAGGGGGCTTTGGTTCGGGTAAAGGTAGTACAATGATATGTGTCGTAGGTGCACATCACGAGTTCAAGTCTTACTGGTGAATCAAGTTAGGTATTTAAGTTGAGAAGGATAGAGGGACATACCCATTATCCACCAAGTTTCGAAGCTGAAATACAACAAAATTCACGGTTATCAAAAAAATTAGAATTGGCTAAAGTTGTGATTTTCTTTTGCATTATGAATTTAGAAAGTAATGAGCTTGTGAAAGATAAATCTGATCCATCTCACCTTCCTCTTAGGGGTTGATTTTTGTTTATTATTTCAATAGTTTATAAGGTTTAGGAGTAGTTTCCTCCATGCAAGATCTGTTGTTTGCCTGATATGGTGGCTGGTTTGGGTCACTAAGATTACGCTTTTCAGGAAAAGTTCAGGTTAACCATAGCTTTGATCACAAGGTAGGTATAACAGAGTTCTTTTGCAATTAGATTACTTTTTTGACGGACAATGGTGCATGTCATGCATGAGGGGTGACCTATCTGTGTATGAATTTTCTTCATTGATTACTTAAAAAGCAGCTCATCATATCTAAAACCTAATATTGATATTTCTGCTGTTTTATGCAGGGTAATTCAAGTTTAAATTACAGTGTTCCTCTTTCAGCGTTATGTGTTCGAGACCTTTAGTGAAATGGGCCTCCAACTTCCTTCAACAAGTGGAAGTATAATATTATTTTCATCATCATGTAAGAATTATGTAAACTGAGGTAGCTTCCACTTGTTTCCCTAGTGATATCCTTGCTTTGTCTTCATTGTCTCCAACTTCCACCATCAAGATCTCCAAACAGCCCAACATGCTCTTTTATATTTTAATTTTTGATAAAGCGAATCCACATGTTAAAGCCAAATCAAGATTTTTTGGAGCTCATCTTTACATTCACCTCTATCTATAGGTCACTTCTCATGATCTTCTTATTATATACTTTAGTTTAGGTAGAGGATGCTATTTCCGTATTTCGTCTTATGTTTGTTTACCGTTATGATTTCTCACCAATTTTGTTGTATTTACCTTTTATCCGATCCTAAATGGGTTGGGTATGAGGCATAGATTGAAATGTTGTCTTCTCCTTTTCTAATCCCTGGCAATTATTGTATCGGGTGCTTTCAAAATGAAAATGCATGTAGATACCGTATTTAAAAAAATTAAAATTAAAATGCATGTAGATTATGTGGTCCAGTGGAGGCAGCTAGGCTTATTATCTTTGCACAATTGATTTCCTTCCCAAAGTTGATTATCTGTTGCTAGTTTGCTTGTAAACAATAGGCCGCCTAAGTAACAAACCTTACTAAATGTTCAGAATATTTTAGAAGATGGAGATAGTTGAGTCCATTCTGAACCTTCCCGTGCAAGATCCACCTGGTGAAGACTTCTCAGCATCTGATTTGAGTTGGACCAAGGTCGGAAATGTAGAACGTTATGATGATGTTGCCCTTATTCTTTATGATCGAGTTGATGCATTTATCATTGGAGAGTGTTGTAACGTGGAATTCCCAACAAGGTTTCACATTGAGAGGGGAAGGAAAAGAAGCAGAGGCAGCTTAAAGGATTATAAGCATGATGACTATTTGGAGTACAGGCTGTAAGTGCTTCAACAATTTCAGGATATATCATTTGCTATCTTCTACTCTTTTTTCTGGAAATGAATAATGTGGTGGGTCTGCGTACACACTACCCTCCCCAGACCCCACTTTGTGGTTTACTGGGTCGTTGTTGTTGTTGTTGTATTGAATAATGTGGAGGGTCTTGCTGACCTCTTTCTTTGTTCTACTAGTTTTAACAGTAAACTATGTGTTCATGAGAACATTTTGTTATTTGATCCCTTGGTGGATTAATTTAGGTATGAACTTCTGAACTAATGGACCTCAAGATGGAGAGTTCTTTGTAAATATTTGACTCTTGGAGGAGAGCACATGGAGAATCAAGGACGTAGAACTTTCCTGTTTTTGGACAAAACAAAAATGAACTTAAATGGCTAACTATGAGGATTTTGCTTAATTTAAACGCGATTCATGATGGAGAATGAAGCAATGTTCAGTCTTTCTAAGTAATTTTTTAGTGTACTAGTAAATTTAAGCTTCTTAAGTTTACTTTATGTAACAAAGTTTTATGTCCAATTTATTTTGGTAAATTCTCAATGTCTTGTAATTAGTTTAAAGGTCATATCATAATCCCGTATCAGCCATTCATGTATTTAGACATCGTTGGGGTTGAAGCTTAATAACCTTGTCTATGTCTAATCAAAGATAGCTCAAAAAGTTGTCATTTTTTTTAATCTAGTTGGAGTCCAGTATTGAAAGTGGATTGCTACTGCCTCAAAAAAGCTGTTGTTGGTCTTGATTTTTTGTGGATGTAAGGTGTGATTAACCTTTACCAAGGGCAAAACGTTCTCTCTTGTTCCTCCACTTATCTTTCTTCTCGCCTCCACCTCCACATCTAGAGGAAACTGGATTTAATTCTTCCATGTGATGATCTTAGGCCTTGGATATATACTCCTTGAGGTTTACAGGGATTCTAGATGATATGGTCTCATCCTTGAGGTTTCTTGATTAAAAAAATAAGAAAAATATTTTCTACTCTGAAGGCCTCAGTAAATAGCAATTTCGTGACTTCTATGGAGCTAAGAAAGGAGCTGCATTAGCTCAATTTAGCATCCCATCAACTTGCTTAACCAATTTGTTTTTAACTGTATAAAATGGAAATAGGTAATGACTGGAAAGGCTTCTGGAATTTACTCAGAATCCTAAATTTCTCCGAACCTTTTCCAGACCTTTGATATCTCTATTTTTTCATCTTTTTTAGCAGATTTGAGCTCTACTTTTTTTTTCCCATTTTTATAAGGGAGCTCTTCAGTTCTTCTACAACCTCGAGTATGGGTCGCTTCTCTTTCTTTACTTGTTTGTGGCTTCCTGAGCATTACTACCATTATGGTAAGGAAGAGAATTAATTAAGATTTCTCGGTCGCCACTATATTCCCTGGAATACTTTCGGCCGGATATGTTACCAACACTTGACTTCTAAAGTCTACACTAATTAGCGCTTTAGTGTAGACGTCAAGGTGCTAAGGCGTGTGCACCTTAACCGATAGATTCTGTCTTTAAGGGCACAACAACATATATATAGCTTAATTATCGTTTCCGTTCTTTTGTCCAATAAATTATTCTTGGTGTTTATAGTTACATTTTCTTGCATTACATTTCTATTTTTTATTTTTTCTATATTTATGCTTTTCTTAGCTAAAGCCCCTTTGGTGCTCCAACGCACTTTGGTGCTTTTTGCTTTTGACTACACTGATATGAATTTACAACAACAACAACAACGACATACCCAGTAAAATCCCACTAGTGGGTACACTGATATGAATTTGTCAGGTAAAATTGTTTACAAGATTCTCCTTCATATCTTGACATGCTGTTATTTCAGGTATTGGTGTTCCTTCGGCCCTGAAAATTATGGAGAAGGTGGCGATATTTTACCAAGCCGACGATATCGGCTTAACACTCGAAACCGAGCTGCTAGACCCCAGTCCATGAGGGGATGCACTTGCCATTTCATAGTGAAGCGCTTGTATAACCGTCCATCTCTTGCACTTATTATATATAACAACAGGCGTCATGTTAACAAGTCCGGTTCTTTATGCCATGGGCCGCTTGATAGAGATGCTATTGGCCCTGGTGCAAAAAAGATTCCATACGTTTGCAATGAGATTCAACAACAAACTATGTCTATGATCTATCTTGGCATTCCTGAGAAGAATGTTTTGGAAAAACATATTGAGGGTATTCAACGTTATTGTGGTTCTGATGCGAAAGTGAATAGCCTTGCTGCTAAGTATGTCCACAAAATTGGCATGATTATCAAAAGATCTACTCATGAATTGGATCTAGATGATCAAGCTAGCATAAGATTGTGGGTCGAGCGGAATAAGAAATCTATTTTCTTTTATCAGGATACATCGGAAAATGATCCATTCATCTTAGGTATCCAAACTGACTGGCAGTTACAACAAATGATTCGTTTTGGACATCGTAGTCTAATAGCAGTTGATTCAACATTTGGTATAAAGAAACTAAAGGTAATGAAGCATGGTGTCTCTTCCTTTTAACCTTGACAACATCTCACATAGTTCTAATTTCTTAATCTACGTAATTTTTCAGTATCCTTTGTGCACACTTCTTGTGTTTGATTCAAGACAGCATGCCCTTCCTGTTGCTTGGGTCGTCACCCACACAATTGCCAAGCCTGACGTGAGTAAATGGATGAAAGCTCTTCATGATCGTGTCCGTGCTGTCGATCCAACATGGAAGGTCAATGGTTTCCTAATCGACGATGCTGCAGCAGAAATTGACCCCATAAGGTAAAATTCTTGTGGTCTACTATTTCTCTATGTCAAGTTCATCACATAGCTCTATAACAGATTTACTTGATCTTGATGTCTTTTCAGGGAGATATTTTCATGTCCGGTTCTATTTTCACTTTGGCGTCTTCGTAGATCGTGGTTGAGAAATATCATCAAGAAATGTAGTAATGTTGAAGTTCAAAGAGAGATATTTAAGCGTCTAGGTGACACAGTGTACAGCATTTGGGATGGAAGTGATCCTTTTGTTGCTTTAGAAGAACTTTCTCAAGATTTTGTTGATCAAACGGCCTTCTTGCAATATTTCAAAGCCACTTGGGTGCCTAAATTTGGTTAGATCATCTCTCCGGTTTGTTATCTGGTTTTTTCACCTTGCAAAAAATTCTGTTTCAAAGAAAGAAGAAAAAGAACATCTAAGCTATCATACACAAAATAAATAAATTAGATCGAATCAATATAACGTTACTATATTTAAAGTATTTTTTTTGGAATCTTTTTCTATCTTTTTCCTGTATTTCCCTGTAATTTTTGTATTTTCATAATACAGAAATGTGGCTTACTACAACGAGAACGTTACCTCTTGCGAGCCAGGAAGCATCTGGTGCAATAGAAGCATATCATGTCAAGTTGAAAGTCAGACTATATGATGATTCACATCTTGGTGCACTCCAGAGAGTTGATTGGTTAGTTCACAAATTGACAACTGAGTTACACTCCAGTTACTGGCTTGACCGATATGCAGATGAAAGTGATTCTTTCCAAAATGTGAAGGAGGAGTATATTGCCACCACATCCTGGCATCGAGCTCTGCAAATTCCTGATGATGCTGTGACCTTGGATAACAAGGATAACTCCTTCGCAAATGTTTTGAGCCAGAAAGACAACAGTAAAACACACCTAGTTTGGAATCCTGGATCAGAATTTGCCCATTGTGATTGTGAATGGTCAATGCAAGGAAATATGTGCAAGCATATTATTAAAGTCAATATGATATGTGGGAATCTTCAATCATGTCGACCTTCTATGTCATTTCAATCATTTAATGAGGTTCTAGTGAGTCTAACGAGAAAACCGGTGGATGATTCAATGGCACTGGATCTGTCAACAGCATGGACACACCAGATGCTTGATCAAATTCGGAAGCTAGTTGAGCTAAACCAGTCTCATGATATTGGCACCATAGTAAATAATATGCCTTTGAGATGGGTCGCTAAGAAGGGCAGAACATCTGTTGGTAGACCATCAGCTATTGCTCTCCCCTCCAGCGCCAACAACAGTTTAATTCGTTCAACTGCTAAAAAGAATCGAAAGAGGAAGAGATTATCAAGATTACGGTGATCTCTTGTGGAGGACAGAAATATCTCCGCAGGAACTATGCATTGGTGCTGTTCTTGGTATACCATGCAGCTATCAGCCCTAGCCGCTTCATTTGGTAATGGCTATTCTGCCCTTTATGTTTTCATTCATGACTGGGGGCTTGATTTTGGTTTTATTATAACCAGCATGATGTTGCCACCATCTGTTGACTCGATGGATGCCAATATTATCCAACATATCGAACTTCTGACTCAACTTTAAAGAATTTATAACTCTGATCTGTTGGAAGAATTCAATTGAATGAGGAATTATGAACTACTGATTACTTGTTTGGCATGATATTTTTCAAAAAGATTCTATCCTTTAGTCCTCAAAATGGTATGGTTTGTGTATTAAGTGAAAAATTCTATATTCTCACATCCTGTCTCCTTTAAAATAATAGTAACAGTTTTATCAGTTAAAGGAATCTGAAAGAAAAGTAGCCCCTGAATTTTTTTGCATTTTTCTGATTTATGAAAAAATTGTTGAGTAGTAGTTAATCAGCAGCTATCATGTCCTTCTCTTTTTGATACTTCCAACTGCTTGTTGCTATTGGTTTGTGTTCTACGCTTTCCATTCAGCATTTGCTGTTAGGTGAAGCCAACCCTGTGTTATTCTTGATACCAGAATCTATCTTATTTGTCATTGTTTGTGTCGGCTGACCAGACGGAAAGAAATACATGGTTGATTCATTATGTTCAGAGGCAGCTCTAACTTTCCGCTCTCTTCAACTGTTGCTCAACAGTCACTAGATGCATTTGATGCTTGGATTTTTGATAGCCGAGCAAGTTCCATGAAAAGTCCAGATACCGTTATCCACATTCATACCTTGTTCACTGGGTACTGAATTATCCTTGTTGGGAACAAATGGAGCAGTCACACCACAGGCAAGAAGCATCAATAGACTCAAAGCATATACGGTACCAATCAGAAACTGCCAGGATTCTCTCCTTTTTGTCTTTGGATGTCCTTGTATGCCTTTTATTTACAATTGAAGCATACAAACTGACCACTAGAATAATTTGTTCATGATACAACAATGTACATATGTTGTATATGGATTTTTCCATGATTCAGTTGAGGAAACAGCAGGTCTAATTAGGTGAGCACATTGATGTAGACAACTTTTTCTTGGTTTTATCAATTCCCTGTCTTGATTGGATTGTTTGCAAACAGCCTCTTGCGGAAATGTAGGGTAAGACTGCGTACAGTATACCTTTGTGGTCCGGTCCTTCCCCGGACCCCACGCATAGTGGGAGCTTAGTGCACCTGACTGCCCTTTTGTTGGATTGTTTGTAAGCGGAAAGTCATGAAACTTTTGTTTGGTAATGTAGATGAATATGTTAGCAGTACAATTGTATTGAGGATTGTATAGTGTAATGACATAGCTGTGTCGCTATCGTGCTGCCAGTGGAGTCGATCAATTTGAGAAGAAAGCAGTTAGGCAACTTTCAAATTGTTTTGTATCCTTGCTTTTATGGCATGGCATTGTACCATAATCTATAGCCAACATTTGCAGCAAGCAGGTGTTAGTTAAGCAGCCAAAGGTTTTTCTGGAAGACATTTCCTCCATACAAAATGTATAGGAATACTTTATTCAGCTCTCTTTTGTCCCTCTCTACATGGGAGCAAGTTTTAATTTGGCTTTCGCTGAATGTTGGAAGGTGTAGTAAAAGAGTTAGTTACAAAAAGTTGTACTCTATCAGTGTAATATAACTTACTATAGCAGGTTATTACCCGACTCTGTTACCTTGTCCTTAGTGGTTAAATATGTATGTATAAATAACAAGAAAAATAAAATTATTTAGTATAAATTTAAATAATGACACGTTTATTATTATCGTAATTTCTCCATCTATTGTCTTCTTCAAATATTGAGAAAAAAATTATGCATACGCCGTTGTTGATATGTAACAATTAGTACTAATTAAGATGGTCAGTGAATTGAAGTTAGTTGCCAATTATAAAGAGCAGTTATATCAGTTTGTTGATATTTGGACTTAGAAATTAAAGAATCACTGGTGTTCTGGCAAGTCTAAAATATAGTACGTCGTACTTTTTTGTTGTTTTATGCCATAAATAGTATTTTAAGAGTGGAACGGAATTAGACTGCGGATTCCAGGACTTGGCGAAATTTCCTCAAAATCGTCCTACACTACAGTGCTATTTAATGTTAATAAAGATTTATTTTTTACTTTATATTATATATTGTGCACAAATATATGCGTGAAATTAATTTTTTAAACAATAAAGTAAAATAAAAATAGATATGTGAAAGGGAGATGATGTGCTAAAAATGGAGAATAGAAACAAGAAAGTAACTGACATGAATGCAAAGTTAGTATTTTAACTTTATTGGATCTAAATTTTAAAATGATGGTTTGTTAATAATTGGGTTTTTAATTTAATATAAATTTTAGCACAAACAATTATTTGAATAAAAGTTATTGGATTCGCTCGAACCCGTATATAGGCTTCTAGCTTCACCCCTACATGGATGTGTTGTGGCGGCGGCGATTAGTGGCGGACGCACGTGGTGGCAAGCGGGTTCAACTGAACCCACTTCATCAAAAAATAATATTGTGTATATGTATAAATCACGATTAAAGCTGCGTAAATTTTGTACAAATATTTTATTTGAACCCACTTGACAACTATTATTTTACGACTTAAAGTTATGTACTTCTAAGATTGAACCCGCTTGCACAAATTCCTTAATCCGCACTGACGGCGATAATGGTGATCGATGTGGTTAGTGATAGTGGTGATGATTGATGGTGCAAGTGGTTTAGTCATAGTGGGTGTGGAGGGTCTGGTGGTGGCAGGTTGTGGGGTGGTTGATAGTGGTAGTTGTGGACGTTTACGCGGAGCCAAAAATTTAAACGTATCCTTATATGTTATGGATTTGATAACGATAACTTTAACGGTTGATAATGAATTCTAAATTTAATTAATATTTGCATATAATTAATGAATCTCACAAATATAATTTTTGAACAAAAGCTACTGAATTTGTTCTAATCCGTATCCAGGCTACTAGCTCCGCTCGTGTCAATCTATCTGGTGATGAAGTTTGTTGGTGGTTGATGGTGCATTGGTTAATGGCAGCGATGATAGCCAGTGCCAATACATAGAGTAGTGTTAAAGCAATACATTCATACAAATTTCAAACCGAGCATCTTAATAATATTAAAATTCTCTATAAAATTTAATTGATACAAACTTATTAAGAGCTAATAAGTGATAAAAAAATCATACACTTTAATAGGCTGACATTTGAATGATCTAAGCTCCATTAGGTACAAACAAATAGGGCGTTATTTACAACTTTTATCCATTCAAGCTGTCATGGAAGTAAATAATGGTCAGCATATTTGCTCAAACTTTTATTCGATAGTAGTGCCCCGTCACTTATAATCTCAAAGGAACGGTAATGATAACAGTCGTATTGATTTTTATATCATTAATTAATGCACTTTAACTTGTTATATATAGCATATCATTTGCTTTATTTCTATATTTTTAAATAGCAAATTAGACTAGTTATAAATTCACGGAGAGTTATCTGATATTACACCCAAATTAAGTTTAGTCATTAATAAAGTGGATGCAAATACTGAATTTATGTATAAGAAAGTTGACAGGTTGGCCTTAGTGGGTATGAGGAGGGGTAAAGGTAGGCCTAAGAAACATTAGGAGAAGTGATTAGGCAAGACGTGGTGCAACTGGAGCTTAATGACCCGCCCAACCGACCGAAGATTGGGCTGGTTATTGACCCGCCCTTTTATTGAACTTAGCCCATCATGACCCAACCCATATCAATCCATTTAAAGTTGGGTCAATTTATAGCCCAAATTGATTCATGAGTAACTTCGCCAAAATATCTTAGAAATATTTTTTTTAATATGTTATATATGACCATAACAAAAGAAAAAAGTCTTATTTAGTAATTATTCATAAGAAGACAACACATCTTAAGTAAAGCTTGAAAAAAGTTGGGCGAATTGGGCTATGACCCGAATTTTTGACCATCTTGACCCAGCACATATTAGCTCAAGTAACTTTTGGGCGGGTCAAATGGACCGAATTTTAGCCCATCATGACCCAACCTATTTTAGTCCAAGTAACTTTTGGGCGGGTCATTTGATCCATCCAATTATTGACTCAACCCATTTTGAACCGCATAAAATCGTGCCAACCCGCTCATTTAACACTTCTAATTGTACTTAACCCTTTCCAGACCCCACTCGTGGGAATTCACTGAATAAGGTTGTTGTTGTTGTTGTTTTAATAAAGTTATACATTGTCACTTATCAGTGGGCAAAGAGAAATTTTCTTGGAATTAAAGGTATTTGCTATGAAGTTTCCTGGAATTGTTGGCTTGTAGTTTCCCCTTATAAGTAGTGTTGTTTTCAATAGTTCCAAATTTTACACGTGCCCTAATAGTGAATAAACCAGTACTAGTAGTAGTAGTAGTAGGGTTACCAGCAAAACCTAACGTCGTACATACATTTTTACAACCTCAAAATAAATGCCAAAATTTTTTCTCCTTTCTCACAATATATACTCTTTGCACAAATGTCACTCTCTCACTTTCTTGACCCCTACTAAAAATTTCTCCTTTTTCACACACAAATGGATGTCTAATCTATTTTCTTCTCTTCTTCCCCCTTTTCTTGGACCAAAAATCAAAGGACATTATCTACTTCTCTCTTTTACTCACTAATTTCAGCTCTTTCTCAAGATTTCTATACAAAAAATTTCAAAATATTACTATAGAGAAATCCCATTTTTGTAACTAGCCAAAATCTTTGGTAGTCGTAACTGTATATGCATAATGTTGCAACGTCATTAGGATATATCCTTCATATATATTTGCTATTTTCATCTTCAACCTTTGACCATGCTACACTAGGTCAACTACATATTTGACCCTTATAGTATTCTTACTAATTACCAATAGTAAATTTTTCAGTCATAATAGTAGAGAAGTTGTTCCAGTTCACCTCAATATAAGGGTTTTTCTGACTCTTACATAATAAGATTTTACAAAAATAACCATAAGATCTGATAAAGTTGTTATAACTTAGGGTATATCTGTTTTCTTGCTCGTTAGCGCTTGACTCATCATAAGATAGAAAGAACATTTCTCGCTTATTTAGTATACTATATTTCCCATGGATTTTGTGAGAGCAAAAGTCAATGTAACTTCAAGAAATATTATTCCCAGCAAAAGTACTGATCTCTCAAACACTACTGTTATTCCCTTCTCAGCTCCTCCATTAAGTCGATATGAGAATCAGAAACGTCGAGATTGGAACACTTTCTGTCAATACTTAAGAAACCACCATCCCCCATTGTCGTCGTTTTCTCTTTGCAGCAGTGTTCACGTCCTGGAATTTCTTAGGTAATGTTGAATAATATTTCAAAGTTTTGTACTTATTACTTCTGTTTCTTTAGTATATATAATTCCTATGTATCACATGTATTTGTTAGTCAAAATAAGAATAAGATATATTGGTACAATCTGACCTCTGTATAACAGCATCCTTATATAATAACACTTCACTATAAAAGCCAAGTTTTTCCGGAAACAAATTTCATCATCTGTTACAATATATGTTTCTATAACAGCAATCCGCTATAACATCCAAAAATATCTGGCGCAAACGAGGCTGTTATAGAGAAGTTTGACTGTATATATTTAAAACTGTGCTAGTACAGTCAGACTTATGTATAGCAGCATTCTTATATAACGTACAATACTTCACTATAAAAGCCAAGTTTTTTCGGAACCAAATTTCATGTTCTGTTACAATATATGTTTCTATAATAGCAATCCGCTATAATATCCAAAAATATCTGGAACAGACGAGACTGTTATAGAGAGATTTGACTATAGTAGTAGTTGAGGGTTTTTCTGATCTTTTATTTGAATTAATTAAGCCTACAAATACGCATGTTCACTTTACTGTCTTCTATGGAAATATATACCAAGCTAGTTAATTTCTCTCTATTCTGTTAATCATTGTTTCTATTATTCATGTTCTATTCAAATACTCTCTCTGTTTCAATTTATATGAATCTATTTGATTGGGCACGGAGTTTAACAAAAAGAGAAGATTTTTATACTTGTGGTGTATAATGAGATACATATATTTTATGTGGCTACAAATCATTGTATAAATAATTTGGGCATGGACTAAAAAGGAAATGGACAGCGCTTTGCATAAATTGAAACGGAGGGAGTATCATATTTAAGTTATATGCACTGATAGTGTAATACTTTTTTTGCACTATCAATATAATTAAATTTATATAGCAGGTTACTTACCATTTATTTTAAGTTGTCAATGTATTAAATAGAACTACCTGATTATGTAAATATATATTTATATATCGTTCTCTCGATTCTGTTAGTCTTTGTTCCTATTGTTCATATTCCATTTAAGTTATATGCACTGACAGTATAAAGATCCTTTTACATTATGAGCATAATTTATTCTATTACATCAGGTAATTACTTACCATTAGTATATAATCGCTCTTAAACTCTTAATTAATTTCCAACAGGTACTTGGATCAGTTCGGAAAGACCAAAGTTCATAACCAAAATTGCCCATTTTTCGGTGTGTTGAATCCTCCATCGCCATGCCTTTGTCCTTTAAGGCAAGCTTGGGGAAGTCTTGATGCGCTTATAGGGCGTCTTCGAGCTGCTTACGAAGAACATGGAGGGAATCCAGAAATGAATCCGTTTGGGACTCGAGCAGTTAAGCTTTTCTTACGTGATGTTCGTAGTTTTCAGTCTAAGTCCAGAGGGATTAGCTATGAGAAGAAAAGGAAAAGATCAAGAAATCAGAAGATAGTAACAGTGGGAGAAGTTCAGTCAAATAATACTTTGCCTAGAGTTTAATTAATTACCATAATATAAGAAAATGATAGTAGGACAATAATGTAAAATTCTAATCAGAACATGGTTTTGCATGTCTTCTACTTTTCATTTGAAAGGTAGTTTTGATACAGTTTAGTACTCTATATAATGCTCTTTTGTCGTTGTTGTTGTTGTTATTTCTGGATCTGGTTTTTCTTGGATGATATTTGAAAAATAACCTTCTTTGTTGTTGTTACTGTTTCTATTAATTTATTTTATATGTCAATCTTTGCTATTTAATCTGGTTAAAAAAGAATGACATATTTTATATTTAGAAATTCTTAACTAATTTTTTTGTTTTACCCTAAATGATGTGCTCTTTAATTAGCTCCTACTCCTCCTTGATCCTTTTTACAACATTCTCGGCTGCTTCTGATCCGATTAGTCGGTCGTCCTCTGGCCAGTTACTAGCTCAGCTATGGAGCTAGGTGTACATCCCACATCTCCATCCTTCTAAAGTGAGATACCGACTTTCATAAGAGGGAAAAATCACCCCGATATGCAGCATAGCAGTGTTCATCTAACTAAAAAATTCATAAGAGAAAGAAGAATCACGACGTATAGGGTCAACATCAATACTTTTTCGGTTAAAATAGTCTAATGAGAAAGTGATGGTCATAGAAATGTACATGTCTAAGATCACAAGTTTTAATGGTTTTTGGTATGTGCTAAAAAGCTTTTTGGTTTTCTAAACTTTGTGTTCGGTCAAACACTATCATATGATATGAAATGAAATGGATGCAGTATTATTTTCTATATATGGATTCGTGTTTTACTTTTTGTTCTTCAAGATGAGATTAGGTTTAATGTATGAATGGTCCTATTTGCAGAGATGCAGTACTGATTTTTAACAGATGCGATCAATGCAATTCAGCTACCAATGGCATAAATCATAATGGCTAATTTTGGTCGACTCATACGTACTATATACGTACAAATAATTTTAGTCCATGTTATTGACCCTCATTTCCTAATGCTAGTTTTCTTAGCAATTTTATTTTATTTTCTTTTTATTCCTTAAGGAATAGAATGTAATTCTGTTTAATCCAAGAATGGCTTATTATTAATTTCTTATTCCTTCATTATGCATTTCTATCTACAGATTTCCTTCATCATTCAACCACTTAGTCCTCTAATGATTTAATGCCTATAAATGCATGAAAACTTGAGCATTGATCGTGCTTCTAGCTTGTTCACTTTAATTTAGTTTCTTTAATCTAGTGAATTGAATTAATGCAAAGCTATGCACATTATGATGAAGTGTGTGACCATCATATCTAAAAATTTAACATGCTAGAAAGAACATATTTTTATTTACTTAATTATATCTTTAACACAACACCTCTTCATTTTTGGCGCAAGTGGAAGATCAATTCCATGTATTATTGGTTAGCTTATAGAGGATATATAAAGTGCAAACATTAGAGGAAAACGGAAAGAAAAAGGGGAACCCTAGTTAGGCATTTCACGTATCCGATAATTAACATATAATATATATATATATATAGAGAGAGAAAAGAGATCGTATAAAGTTCCAGATTGCGAAAGCTTACTTTATTGGTGGATGCTATAATTTTTTGAGACTTTGCCATATTTAGGAAAATGAGTTTTTCCTTTTGATATTTTGTTATCTATTGAATCCCTTTCACCACCTATGGGAAAATACTTGTAAATGGCAAAGGGAGTTTTTCCTTATATTTTGTATATGCAGTCTTCTTACTATAATGTTATCTCAAGAAAAAAATTGCTTTGTTTTATTTTTCTTATACATTGTCAAGTCTACTTCGTTTATGTGAGCGAACATGGTATAACTTGAGTTTATGACAGTTTTTCACTGTCATATCAACATAAAATAAGACAATATAACATTTTCTCAACTGTTATATAACCTTCATCATCCTCAAATAGGTTGATATTCGCGCAAAGTCGAAGGCGGAAGAGGGAAAAACAATGTCAAAGTCGCAAGGGGTTTAGGTTATTTCGTTTTGTAAAAGAATCGATGTTAACAAATTCAAAAATAGCCAGATATACCAGTAGTCTTTCAAAAATAGCTCAGTTTCAAAAGTAATCGAAATTTAACCACGTTTCATGTAAAGATAAATCTGAGCGAAAACACTGTTCAAAACCCGAAAAATACGCCAGCATATTATGCTGGAGTTCCAGCATAAGTATACTTGAACTCCAGCATATTATACTGGAGTTCCAATAAAGTATACCGGTCCAGTATAATATGCTGGAAGTTCATACACAAGTGCTCGAATCTCAAGTATATTATGCTGGAACTTTCCGTGTGTTGGAGTTCCAGCATAATATGCTGGAAGTTCATACACAGGTGCACCGAACTCCAGTATATTATGCTGGACCGGTCTCTGTTGCAGCAAACTAGTGGCTATTTTTCATTGACTTGGTAAACGTTGGCTATTTTTGAATGACCAGTCCGAAAACTGGCTAGACCGTACTATTTATACCATATATATAGTGCAAAGAAATACTACACTTTCATATTGTAGCAGGTCTGCAGTATTTTGAGTATAAAATTACTTATAAATATCTTTCGGATGAACTAATAGCATAATTTATTTATTTTTGAAGGTCTATATAAATAAACACATTTCAATTTTCCAATAAAACATCATTGCCAAAGGTACTATAGGATTTTGATGCAATTTTCAAACCCTAAATTTGTCTCTTAAAGGGTGGCACGCTTAACCAAATTTCCCACAAATTTATCAACCTCCAATAACGAAAATCCCTCAATATGCGGAAGTGACATGCGTTTTGAAGCTGACACGTGTCCCCTGTGGGGTCCACCAATCAAAAATCTCCCACATCATGTACTGCTTGTCGGGTAACAGCGGCATCCTCTGCCCTCCTCGTCCTTCGATCCTAAGATCAACGGTTCTCCTTCTACCACGTCGTCACACATATTGCTTCTCATCCGTCGATTTTGCTTTGTCCCTCGTGTAATCTTTTCGTCCGTACAAACACTCGCATATTTCCTTCTTTGGCTTTATCGCATGTTTGCTATTTAAGGGTACTGATAATTATAGGTTACAAACAACTTTTTTTTCCTTTAGTTTTTTATTATAGAATTTAAGTTATAATTATCATTCAAGTAAAAAAAAAAAATTATACCATTAAGTCACTAAAAGAATATCTACAAGTAAACTCGTTAAAATGTGAATTGCAATCTTAAAAATAAGACATATTACTTGCTACAACAAATAAATGTGATATGATTGTGTAAAAATTTCTTATACTGACAGTGTATATTATCTAAACTCTTCGGTATATTACTATGACAACTTGCATTTTATAGTTTCTATATTATTATTTTCACTTTTTTTTTTGTTTTTGAGGGAACAAAATGTTATGATTATAGCCATGGTTTGATGTGGGGAGAATGTGGTCCTCACATCTTTGGAATTTGCTCAATGAAACAAAAAGAAAGTGGTAAAGTATGAGTGCATGCTTTGGTAGATTTAAGAATGCTCTTTTTATTTCTTTAAAAGTTGATGTACATGGAAAACACAAATAAGGAAATTAATGGTATGTGTTATGTATTGTATTGTGTTTAACCATGTTAAGTTAAAGTTGACTAATATAAGTACGTAGAATTTAGATATTGAGCGGATTAATGTGTTAGTAATTTGTATTTGTAAGATAATTCTGGAAACAGAAATAACGAAAACACAAATGTAGAAGAAAAAAAGAAATTAATCCAAGCACACTGAATTCACATTGTCTCCTTAAGACTTAATCTCCTCCTAGTACCCGAGGTTTAGGATTATTTCTGTTATGTCGAGGAAGAGGCAAACCCGAAAATAAAGAAGATAAAGAACACCAAATTTTAACGTGGAAAACCCTTCAAATCGAAGGTAAAAACCACGTTAAAATTTGGTGTTCTTTATCTTCTTTATTTTCGGGTTTGCCTCTTCCTCGACATAACAGTGGTATCAGAGCCTTGGTTATTTATCCGGGTTGTTGCGGAATGGAGGCGAATATGAGCAAGATGGTATGTTTAAANATTTGACCGGAGTGCTACGCACGTTGAGACAAACTTTGTGGCGGAGATCTGGAGATGCGACATATTGAAGGCTATGTGAAGAAGGTGGATCAAGTTTATTTTGCCAGAAAATTCAGGCCAAGGGGGAGAACTGTTAGGTGTTTGCCATAATTTTCTTACCATATTTGGTTTTCCTATCTCTTGAAGGAAAAGGGCAATATAATTACCTTAACTGGGTTTTCCTTTTTGTAAAAGGAAATTATAAATCTCCAATATTTGGCTAGTCCTTTTTCTTGTAGGAAAAGGTTTGGACTTCTATAAATTGAGGATCCTTCTTTCTCATTCACTAGCATCCACAATGTAGCCATAGGGGGCTTGAGAGTCTTGTTTAGGAGGAGAACTTTACGAGACAAGTGTTAGTGTGTCATTTGTGTTTGCCTCTTCGTGAGGTTGTTCTCTCGATATTTTGTACTCTCTTTTTATTATAGTGGATTGCTCATCTCCGTTGTGGATGTAGGTCAGTTGATCGAACCACGTTAAATGTTTGTGTCTCTTTTGATTGGTTGATTTCTCTTTTGTTATATGATTTATCGCCGTTCAGGGTTTGCGCTACTAGCTTCCGCATGACACCTGATTTTTTCGATCCTAACAATTTCCTCCTAGGATAGAACGGATTACACACTGATTTAGTGGTATTTCAAACCTCAGTGTTTCAACGAATATAAATGGCAGCAGCAATCACACTTACTTTATTTGTTTTGCAAGAAAACAATGCAGAAAGGTAGAAGAAATTTCAGAATTTTCGGAATGGCCTGATATTTGTACAAGATGTCAGTGTCTTGTACAAAGCAACGTTTATTTAATCAATGAAAATCAACCATCAAAAAAGGAAATGGTTGATCGCCCTTACGGTCGTATGTTTATTGATTTGATGCGAAAACACCAAAGTGTAGGCAATCAAATACTCAAGCCTTATCCTACTTTCTGTCAGACCTTTTTATAACGGCATATCTATATAATAGTTATTCATTATAAAAGCCATGTTTTTCTCGAAACCGACTTTTATGTAATGTTATAATATATATCCTCTATAATATCACTTCACTATAGCAGCTAAAAAATATCGAAACAAATAAGATTGTTATAGAGAGATTTGACTGTACATGATATACTTTAGCTCAGTAGTCGTCTATATTATTGTTGGTCGATCACTTAATCCCAAATACTCCAAAAAATATATTTTGCCAAAAGAAAAGAGAAATAAAAACTGGTTCCAACTTTTGGTTTGCATATTTGTGGCAACGGCAATGCATTTCATTGCTATCCGACATATAATTTAGGCAGTAGTACAATTTAGGTCCAATTAGCTTCACGAAAATGGGTCCGAAATCCTAATACTTGGGCCAATAATACTTGAATGAGGAGAAATTGGCCTTAATCCTTGATCATGTGCTTAAGAAACCACTACTTGGCTTTATAACATAACTTGGAAAATGACATCGTATAGCGGCTTTTAAAATAATAGCCAAAAAATATATTTTTTTTGCATTTATTTTGTGTATATATATATATATATACATTTTTGTATGTTATATATAAAAAATATATAAATTTTATACACTTTTACGACTACAAATATAAAAGGTTTCAGTCGCGGGCTAAAAGTACCTTAGCCCTTTATAACTTATAAAGCCTTAATCCTTGTCCAAATGTTTACCAAATTAACTTCTTGTTGTTGGCTTGTGTCTTTAGCAGGGGTGGAGCCTGTTTCCTACGGGTTCGGCGGAAATCAGTAGTTTTGGTTCAAACCCTATATTTATCTTTAAAAATTCATTAAATATATACAAATTATTCATTTAGAACCCGTAACTTAAAAGGATTAGAATTCCCGAACCCAAAAATTTCAAATCCTAGCTCTGCTTCTGGTCTTTAGAATACTCACCTACATGATTATGAGACCTTTAAATAAATCAAATTTTAATGGAACAAACAGGATGGTAAAAATTTACTCGTACGTAATCGATGTTTACATAAAACTAATAGATGCATGTCATGTATTATCAGTCCCCTCATCTTTCGCATATCTTGCTCACGAACATTGCATGAATCATCGAACCTACACTGAGGAATATTAATACTTTAAAAACGCGTGATTTATTAAGTGGAAGATGCTACCCAAATAGTTAGAGATGTTGCAGGCAAAGATCATATAGCCTAATTATCTGCAAGTTAAATAAGCATAACTCTTTCATTTAATAACTTACTATGATAAGTTCATATATTTTGGTGCAAACATCGAATGCGAGTAAGTATTTACAGAAGTATTTCGGAGACATCCCCCGCGGCTTTTTAATTTTCTTCTATCCCTTTTTTTGTGTGTTTTCAATCTTTCTCTTTTAATGAAGAAAGACAACCTCAATTGTTTATTCGCGATTACTTTAATGAAGAAAGATAGAACCACAATTCTTCTACGATAAACTTTTTACAGGCTCTTTCAAACCCTCTCAACAATAATTGACTATTCACTCATGCTTTCATGGGAATAAGAAAGTAGAACTATAACTCTTCTTAATCTTCCCTAACGATGATATCTATAATTAGTATAAATTCCGAAATGATTAACGTTTACTAGTAACAATTACTATAGCAAGATTGGAAAAAGAATTTTCTATTTCAATCATCCTTCTCAAAGAATGGAAGAACCAAAGTCCAAAAGTAACTATATGACGGGCTTTTCTTGCTATTAGCCAGTGCAAAATTTCAAGAAATGGGGGTCAACCTAATGCCATCTAACCTAAAACTAGAATGTGGTTGAACATTTACAGGGTTAACTCCTTGTGAGAAGTCAAAGCCTCGACGAGGCTGTAAATCTAATCATCTTCCTCGCTTATCAATCTCTTCATTAAGAAGCCGAGTCATTAAACCTTGATTAGGGGTCAAATTATTGGTTTTGAGAAGTGTGTACAATGCATGAAGTTCTTCAGAGTTTGCCTTCTTAATCAGGCCACTGAGTACTGTATCAGCTCCGGTAGGATCATTTGAGATCTCGGATTTTATAGTGAGTTTCAAACTGTCAACAGATGTTGATGGTGCTATCTGCATCATCGGTCGAGATTTCCAGTATTCTGAACACACTTGATTTTGATCCATAGCTTGAATTACCTGCACAGATGAAATCAAATGAAAACAACAAGACGATATATCTTTTAGATCACATTTCATATTTTCTTTCAACTTCCATGTTGTTTCTCACATTTTTTTATCTAGGAGAGAATCGGAAATGAAATCCTTTTAAAGATTAACATATTGGTACTGTATCGTGCCAAAAAGTTACCAAGATCTAAAATCAAATTCAAGAACATAAGTGGAAGGACCTGTATAATTGCAGGTGAAGAAAAACCAAACATTTCCATGCCATCAAGACTTCCAGGTGGCTGCAAAGGAGGAAGCTTCAGTTTTCCCAACTTATGTTGCTTTGTTATTTCTTGATTCACTCTCTCCCGGACCATGTCCCAGCATCTGACAGCGGATAAATGAACAAACACTTCATTCGGACAATGCTCTAACGAGACCTGCAAGGACCATTTTTCCACTTAAAGAGAGGACACCAGAATGGCAGGAATAACATTACAGTATGACGCAAGAATAGCAGGAATACAGGAATAACATTACAGTATGACGCAAGAATAGCAGGAATAGTATTATAGTATGACAACACAATGGCATGAATAACCAAGTAATACATAGCAATAAAGACACCAATAAGCTTGTCACAGCGAAGGTAAACAAAAAAGAAAGGCAAACAGGAAAAAAGCTGTTAAGTAACCCTCAAAGATGTAGGCTGTGAATGTTTTCATGAGCTGATACAAGAATATCCATCTAGCTAATATTGTAGCAGTCAAAAGTGCCTATAGGCAAACTACAACCTGAGCAGAAACTCACAAAGCTTTTAAGTGTGGCTCAACTCTGCATGGAAAGCTTAATGCAGAGGAAACAAGAACGAAACTGTGGCAATCTGAAGCGCACCACAATAGCCAAAAATAAGAATTCCGCCAGCACAAGTACACAAATAAAATTAACATCCGACAAATAGTTCCATTCAAACAGAATATCCAATTACCATAAACAATGGCCCATCTCGCCCTGCATCCAGAACTTCAGAAACGTAGTGGCACATATTTGCTGGATTTAAAACATCAATGTATCTGACCCGGCTCCTGAATCCTGCATTTGACACATGAACAAGTGTGTCTATTGTTACTTCCATGAGTTGAATAAAGATAAATACGAGTAATTCACAGGTATCATACCCTTGGGGTAAATAGCCCGATTGTCGCACCATAGCTTGCCAGGCTGAACAACTCCATAATCCAGAGGTTCCACATTGCAATTGATTCTCCTCACGACTTTTGCAATACGAGGACCTTTCTGACGAAAATATCTGTCCAAATTGTTTTGAGAGACGGGAGAGTCACTTGATAAAGGTTGTGGGCACTCCGTTTCCTTATTTTGGCTATCTTCTTTATTTGGTTTAGAGTCACATGGTTGTGGGGGCTTGGGACAAGCATCAGCATCTCTTAAAATGATATTACAGCCAGAAGTCCCTTTTGTAGCCTGAGAACCTTGGGCATGTTTATCAAGATCCATAATTACAGAAGAACCTCCAAGGGAAGAATGTGTTTCTTGATTAAGTCTATGATGTATTAAATTTTTCGCATTATCCTCAACTTTTATGCTCTCTGAACTAGATGAACCACTAATTCTGTCTCCGGTCACTTTCTCATCATTAATGGATGTTGCTGAGACAGGTTTAGCACTGCTACCCATGCTCATTGTATGTTTATCCACAGTATCTCCTGAAAGAACTGATCTGTTCATCTCCTCTCCCTCATCATCACTGAGAAGGATCACATCACCATCACCAAGACCTGAAGTGCCCTTCACTTCATGCTTATCTGTTGGTAATTTCTTACTAAATGACCCACCCTCCACGGAAAGCTGACAAACTGGATTTCTATGACCAGGAACCAACTTCACGGATTCTTCACTTTTAATCTGGAAGCCATTCTTCGCCCCCTTAATTCCATGAGAAGAGTTGCCAGCCGTAGAGGATGCCTTGATTGATTCCAAAGCTAAAACTGGAGCTCTAAAATCAGGAACCAACTTTACAGATTCTTCACTTTTGCTCTGGAAACCATTCTTTGCCCCCTTAATTCCATGAGAAGAGTTGTCAGGCATAGAGGATGCCTTGATTGATTCCAAAGCTAATGGTTCCCTGTATTGTTTATTTTTATGCAATGATGAAGCACTGTCGCTGCCCCTTGTCAAGAAATTTGCATTTCCATCATCCTTCTCCTTTTTTATGGAAGCTATAGGGGATCCTGTGCTTGCCTCTTTTAGCACTAGTTCCTCAGGTTTACAGGATAACTTACCAACAAGCCCTGCAACTTGCCTCTCTTTGTTTACATAAGAACTCAAAGCCAATCCAAGATCTTGCCTGGCCCATCGATAAATTGCACTCAATTTCCCTTCTAACGCGTCAACTAGTACATTTAACTCATTGATGTCATAACGGAAGAGGAAAAATTTGGCACCCCAGGAACAAGTGCACAGTTGTTTTGCATGGTTCAAGCATGCATATTTATCCGGCGAACAATGGTGACAGCCGGCGGCAGACAGGTGTAGATCAAAAAAACATACACTACATTCCCTCTCATTAGTAGCATCAAAGGTGCTCTCCATCTTTAGTGCCTGTGAAGAATTGCAAAGAAACTCCCTCCTCACTCTCTCCATCTCAACACGGTTCTGCAAAAAAGATAATTCAGCAGTGAAGTTGATTAAGAGGTACTAGGCTTAGTAGCATAACTTGTACGGACATAGAACTAAAATGTGGTACCAGTATGACCAAATCTATTAATATCAGTCAAATCCCCCAAAAATAAAAGGATAAGAAAGGAAAATATACCCTCAATGCAACAAAAGAAAGATAAGAGAAGAATGGAAATGGAGATTAAGGACTATCCATCAATAGAATATTGGTGTTGCTATGTGCACATCCGCCAAAAGAATGCAACTATTTAATTCAAATAAATTCGTACCTTTAGTGCTTTTGACAAAATTCCATCTTTTCCACAAACATCTTTCCATCGTAAATTATTTGAGGTATTCTTCCTCAGTAAATTAAGTTCCCAGTGTGCTTTGACTGCATCTCGAGCTGCCCCCAGTAACAGTTTATCATGGGATATGGAAGTTTTCCGGCCCTGCTCACGGTAAAGCTCAATCGCATTCTGCCCATGTGGTAACCAGTCAACAGGAGCAACATTTACTGCTTCAGCACAGTTGAAGCCACAATTGAAACCAGCATGATATGCTCTTGGGAAGGTCAAAACAAACTCTCCAGGATTTTGGACACACCGATAAACTGGAACTCCCTCAGATTTCAATATTGAGGGGGATAGTTGTGTAACCTGCATAAAATAATAGGTTGTTGATAAAAGATTAAACAATTTATAAGAGGTTGGAAGCCAACTCCTGTGGCGAATTCACTGTCACCTCTTTGTAAAGAATAACCTAGCAAATGACATAGCAGACAGATGATCTTCCATAAGAAGAGCAAAATTTACAGGAAAACAGTTTCTTGATTACATTTGAATTTGATGAGGACGCTACAGTATTCCAACAATATAAATGGAAGCACATATCACCTATACCTCCCAACCCTAAAAAGACGATGGTAGCAGAACAGGCCTTTTAGCAAAACATGTCATTCTTGAATAGAGAATACCAACAACGAGACATGTTAATAGGATTCAATTACTTTTCGATCAGATGAAGATTGGACTCACCAGCTTGTGAAGCAGGTCGGGCTGCTCTTCAAAGAGATCGGGCAAGTGCTTCCTCATAGCAGCCTCCAATTTCAACGCATCTGCTCCAGGCACACCATACCACATTTTTGGAGCCCCGAAATGCATATAATTTAATGAGTACAAATGGTGATCTTCAACATGCTGTTGGTTGAAAATATAAAAAGAAAATTGTTAAGTAAATAAGACAGAAGCACGAATGCATTATGTTTTCAGGTTATTAAAGAAAAGAATGATCATCCAAATTATATATTTCAAGCATACTAAATTACACTGCTCATATATTTCAAGCAAACTAAATTACACTGCTGCCCAATTCAAAAGAAAGGATTGTGTTGTCAAGAACAGACCCAATAACAACTACTAGTACTTCTTATTTTCAAGAAATATGACCTCAAAAACTCTGATTGACTTTAAATTAGCTCCTGCTCAATGCAAGAGAAAGGAACAATCTCAACCAAGGAATCACTAATACCGCCCATTTGTTGTTCGAATAAACACGATCTGGAGCTTACTCAAACACCATTTGTGAATATTTCCATTCTTAATGAAGGTTTTACAAGTTCTTTTTTTTAATTATTATTTACAAGACCTTTAATAGAAGAAGAAAAATTTGAAAGACAGAAGCAATATGAAAAAGTTATGTGCCCATTTTATTTCAACATGTGAAAGGAAACCCCACTTGCGAAGAGAAATTGGCACCTACAGTAGCTACGCAATCAATAGAAAGACTTGTTGAGCCAATTGCACCCAACAAATTTCAGTGTAATAAAGCAACCGAGGAAAACTATATTCCTTACCCAACAGAATGATGAAAAGCACATTCCTATATAAAGCCAAGGCACCAAAACACCAGATATGTCGCTGCTCTCATATGTAAGAACAGAACCTGGAAGCCTAGGGAAGTTATTCAAGTTCCATCCTGCGTTTACATACTTCGGGTCAGAAGAGCCAACTTGATGGCCATGTTTAGGGAACCCACTGCCAAATACTCCAGTTTCCAAGTCAGCCCCATAAAGAACCTAGCAAATGATGACAAAGGAATGACAGAAAGGGAGAAAGTGTTATATATCATAACCTAGATGGCGTGCACAGCAAGAAAAAAAGATCAGTAAAGAGTGCCACCTCGATCTCTTCGGTAGGTTTCTCGACCATCCGCCAAAATTCACCCTCAATGTTCTCCAATGAAGGCTCACACTGCCCTTCATTTTGCCTGAAGTACTGGGCCTTAAAATCATCAGCATATTTCTGAAATGCGTCCAGACTAAACTCTGGACCAGGTTCAAATCCAAACCTCTCCTCAAAAATAGCAGCTTCATCAGGGGTCCTAATGTCAACACTACCATTACCCAAGTCTACTCCGGTTTTTGAGCACCTTCTTCTTTTCTTCTTCTTATGATGATTAACTTTCCATATCTTTCTCATCGAATTTCGATTCTGAAGTTTGTCAATCCTCTGTATACGGGTAGCAAATTTGGAGTTCTCCCATATATATTTTTCCTTAAGAGGGCATGGAGGTTTCCACGAAGCAGGCGGCACTATGCGACAAATTCCATATGCCTCTGCTTTGGTGCGTATGCTAGCCATATATGTCAGGGTATCTTCAAATTCCTGGAGATTGAAAAAAGTTATTGACAAAACTTAAGGCAAGACTCATAAAGCATCCTCCCGATGTAATGACTAGTGAGTAATGACAAAAAAGAAAGGGAGTCGTGTTCAAGTAGAGATACTGAAAGGGGTTCATTAGACAAGTAAAATAGGACCTCTTCAGTTGGATAGAACACCGGAGCATCCTCAAGGTCAGGCCTACAAGCTTCCTCTGGCCTCCATCTCGCAGTTACCTGTTCCAAGCTTGAAACTTTAAAACAGCATATATACATGTAATAGACCTACAACTCTGTGTTGGCTTGTATCTTGTTTAGCTTTATGTTTGTGAACTCAACTCCATTGGAAGCTAAACACTTTCGGTGATCGGAGTGCTAAATGCTGCTCTAATTTTAATTACCATAACACTTAAATTATCCTAAATGGCTGCCATGAAGAGATGCTTCTTTGTAAATATAATTGTTTATAGGTACTTTTCTACATGATATCATAAACCATAATAGGCTGAAAAATAAAAGCAGCATACCAGCACTAAATATCTTATAAAAAAAACAGTTATTATACTGACCCTTTGGCAATTGAGACACGCTTCACATCCACGGATGACTCCTTTTGGAAGTGACGGCCTTACAAAGGGATTCTGCACAAGAGGAAGAGAATAAGAGAGGTGCAAAAAAACTTTTAGAGAATAATAGGCTAGCTACTCAACCTGATCGGGTTCGGATTCATCTTCTGAGCTTTTCTCATACTTCCCGTAGTTTATCCCAGGTTTACGCCTAAGTGACTTAATCATCTTTCCATCTTCGGTACCTTCAATATATGTTTCTACCTGACTTCCATGCAATTTTGATCCGCTCACTGAGGATGGCTGATTAATCGTGAGTCGATTATTATCCACCTTTCTTAAGGTGAAGGGCGCAAGTGACTCAAAACCAGGTGGAATTGATGAAATGTCCATATCCTCCTCTTTGACACAATGTCTAACAAGTTCAGTCCCCATCCTCCAGACTGCCAAGCAACCAATATACAAGTGAGAAATCAAAGAAAGAAGAAAGCACTCTCGAGTTCCCTTCATAAGATATGGAACAGAACCGAAGGTTTATACTGAGACTCAAAAAGTACATATAGCTACTTGTGGCAAAAAATCAGTGGGCCCGAGCTGAATGCACAGATTGATAACTATGATTGTTCTCTATGAACCGATTTAATATAGGAAATCTTCCACATGAAGTGTACAATCAACATTAAGACGACAACCAAACATATGATAATCTATCAAGACCAATTGTTGCTTGTGTACAAATACAACAACAACAATAATGCCTCAGTACCAAACTGCTTGTGTACAAATATGCACACAAAATCTCAGAAGTACTCTTGAAAGAGTCCATCCACATAATTAGACAAAAATTCCCAAAATAGTATAGATCGCATAAAATCTCTTCTGTAAAACATTCATCTAAAGTAATTTTACCCAGTTGATCTTTCAACCATTGCACAAATTCATTACTCAGTGATAGCTTTGCTTACATTGAAACAGTAAAACCCTGATCAAACTATGATCAATTTTAAGATGATCATCAAATCACCAAAAAACGTCCAGTTAGTCAAAACATGTACAACAACAACAACTACGCCTCAGTTGCAAATAAATTAGGATCAGCTATACGAATCCTCATTGACCACGTTAGACAAGACAGAAGTCCATATATAAAAACACACATTCACAGAAACAGGTAATTTTACCAAAATAACCTTATTCAGAGATTGAAAGCTTCAGAACAGAAGCATATGTACTTACAAATTTTGATCCACTGATCTACGAAGCTTCAACTCCTCTTCACTACACCCAGACATTCAAAAAAGCAACAAACAGTTCAGTAGCAGAATAAATCAAATCACAAAAACAGCTTAAACCAATAACTATATAAATTTGAAACACTAGAAAAAATCATAACCAAAAATTTATAATCAGATTCAACAGATCTAAACCTAATCCTAGGCATAAACTTTTTTTGAGGAAAAAATAAAAATAAAAATAAAAAAAGCCTAACCCTAACCCAGTACTGAAACAGAGAGATGTTACCCACCATATCAGCTCCTGGTCACAACAAATTGGCCTTTGACCAGATGAAATACTAGTAATTTGCTTTGAATTTATCACCCAGAATACAAATCCCTAATTTATTTGTAAAAGTGTAACAAATATTTGGTCATAGATTGTGAAAATTGCAACCTAATAAAGGTGAATCTATTATCTATCAATTAAACCCTAAATTTTAGAAACTGTAACAGTATCTAAGTCGCAGATTATAAAAATTTAAGAAATCCAATACAGATGAATCAATCCTTTTTTTAAATTTTTGTTTTTTGTTTTTTTTATTTGGGTAGGCAAATCCAGATAAAGATCAGATAAGGGAACACACCGCTGAAAGAATTAATTTGATTTACCTTAGAGAAAAAAATTAATAAATGAAAGAACCCTAGTACTATAGAAAAAAGACCCAAAAAAAAGGGAAATTTGTTGCTTGTAATACTATGGTCATTCTGTGTCCTAATAATCTATGGGCAAATTTCCACCTTGAAATCGACGCGTGTTTGACGTGCCCAATTTTTAACTCCTTAGTTATACGTTTTAAATTTTTAAGTCTACTTTATATTGTACTTAAAAATATCTACTATTGAATATTACCAAAAAAAGTTTGGTATTTCAAAGGATTTTTCCTTTTATTCTTGAACCACGGTTAAAAAAGGACAAACAATATGGGTTTGGTTGGGAATTGAGTAATAACTTACTTTATATTTTAATAAAGATAAAATTTAAATATTTTGAAATCCGTTTTTATTAAGTATTTTTTATTATTAAAGAAAAATAAATTAATAAGTTGATATATTGAAAGCTACTTAGTAATAAGATTTTAAAGGAAAAAAGGAACCTATGTAGTGGGTGAGAGTAGTTTAAGTGCGCACAAATTGGGCCAAACGTAATAGTTAAAATTAAAAGGAAAAAGAAAAAGAGAGAAAAGAAGAAATTTATGGGATAATTGAATTATTCTTACCGGTAGTTATCTGGTTTTGTTTCTAATGGCGTGACTTGTGAGGGACAGAGAGGAGTCGAGTAGTATCACGTATGCTTTATTAGAAGTTTGGCACCTTCGGTTGTATTAAAAGCATTGTATATTATATGTGGATATATTCCTTATATTTGTAAATATCTCCTGATGAAGTGGGCAATGTTTGTTTTGTATGATGAAAACTTGTAGGACAATTTACTAAGTCAAAACTTGGTTTTGGGCTAAGCCCAAGTGAGTTGGGCTTGCTATTGAGCTTCTGTAAAAATGACACCAGTTAACTACTTTAAAGGACTATTATTTAGAAATTAGCCAGTACGTTCTGAATTTCAGTTTTTTAGTTCAATTTTTCAGGACAAAAATAACTTGAAGTGTCCTGAAGTTAAGATTTTTAGTTTAAAATTTCAGGACAAAATAAATACTGGCTAATCTCTAAATCGCATCACTGATAAATAGCTATTTGTGCACTTTCCCCTAAGCTTACTTTTGGAATTGAAAATCCATGGAATCTTTACATACCGGTTGAATTTATTAATTTTTTTTTTAACCGATACATATAAATTATATACTGGTCATACGAGGTTATACACATATTATAAATAAATTATATATAATATATTCATCGACTATTTGATTTAATTCTTTTCATATAGTGGAGAATCAAAGGAAGAGTTCATTGCACATGGTTCTTATATTATAGTGAAAATTTATAGTCATCCACCAAATTTTATAATCTAATTATGCCGATAAATGTGGATTCAATTCTCGCTGCCTCTTTCGCCATTCGTTTTCTCTAACTAGCTCCCTGTTATAATATAGAAAATTGAAGAAAAGAATCCAAAGAAAAAAGAATAGGAATGGAGATTATTTCAAAGTATTAATAGCTTCTTACTTTTTGACTTTGTAAGAATAATTATGATGAAAGTCGAAAGTGGCTTAAGAGAATTATAGTTGTTGAGACAATAATATAATCGATTCTGTTAATGTTTCAAAATATTAAAATAGGTAACATTTTTTTGTTGAATGGATATCAAAAAGTGGGTTTGGTTGGGAAGGCAAGCCGCAGATGCGGCCAAAAGGGAAGTCAGCTGGAACCGCAGAAGCGGCTACGGGAGCGTAAGCGCAGGTGCGGGCGCTTTGTCGCAGATGCGGAATTGGGCATTTAAGTGGAAATCGTAAGTGCGGTGGGTTAGACCGTAGAAGCGGGATCGCAGAAGCGGACAAAGACCGTAGGTGCGGAATCCCTGGGTCAGAAAGTATATATTTCATCCTTCGCGATTTTCAGCCTTTCTTCACCATTTTTAAATCAATTTTCGAGCTTTTTGGGAGATTTTGAAGAGGGAATCCAAAGGAACTTCATTGAGGTAAGATTTTTGAACATAAACTCGTTCCTATGGCGTTATTTCATTGATTAGGCTTGAAATTTATAAAAATTGGTGGATAAATATTGAAGAAACTAGGGCTTGTAATTGGAGACCTTGATTAAGGACTTGAGGGGTCATTTGTTGTCGGATTTTGGTATTCTTGGTATGTATGGACTCGTGGGAGGATAAGGAGTTTATTGATGTAATTGTTATCGGATTCTGAGACGTGGGCCCGGGGGTCGGGTTTGGTTAATTTTGGGTTTTGTGTTGTAATTTGATTATTTTCGCATGGGCTTCATTCCCTTAGCATATTTTGACGTAATGATTCTGATTTTGGATAGATTTGACGCGAGTTGAGGCCGAGACGAGAGGCAAAAGCATCGCGGGCTAGAGTTTGGACCGGATAGAGGTAAGTAATGATTGTAAATGATGTCCTGAGGGTATGAAACCCCGGATATCACATCGTTATGATACTTTGAGGTGACGCACACGCTAGATGACAAGCGTGGGGTCGTGCACCGTTGGGGATTGTGTCTTAGTCTGTCCCGTATGACTGTTTAACTGCGTATTTGAATGAAAACCGTTTGCTATCATCATTTTTTGGGCTGAATGCCATATTTGGGCATCGTGCCAACTGTTTGGACCCTTAGGGGATTTTACTACTATTCCTCACTATTTTGACTTCGTATTTGTACTCGGTCATGCTATATTCTATTGTTTTCACAAGTCAGCCATCTTTACTCGTTTTTGATATTTTAAATGATATTTTGGGCTAAGCATCATGTTTTACTGTTGCCCGTGTGGCTTGTGAGATTCTGACTGAGTAAGGCCGAGGGCCTGTGTTGTAAGGATACTATGGGATCGGGCTGCGCGCTGCAACAGTATTATATTGATTCATGATTATGAGGCCGAGGGCCTGAGTTGTTACGCCACAAGGTGGCTTGATATGAGGCCGAGAGCCTGTTTGATTATGCCAAGAGATGACTTGTTATTGCGATTGGGCCGTAAGGGGCCCCTCCCGGAGTCTGTACACCCCAGTGAGCGCGGGTACCCATTGTGAGTGATGTGATGTAGCCCGAGGGGCTGTTGTTGATTCATATTGTTGCCCGAGGGGCGGTTCTTGATCCATGTTATGCCCGAGGGATGATTACAAGTGATTGTGAGGTAGCCCGAGGGGCTGGTTCTGTTGATATTATGCCCGAGTGGCGTTTATGATACATGATTTTGCCCGAGGGGTTGTTTACGTTTTCTATCATTTATACTCACTGTTTTATCACTCGTTTGAAACTATTGAAAGTTGTTTTAAAAGATTTTTACTGAAACTGAGCTTGATTTACGAAGTAAATGATTTGTGTACTGCTTTGGAAATGATCTATATTTGTTGTAGTGTTATGACGTGGTTTACGTGTTTTCTTACTGTTCAGCTTTCATTTACTTTTATTACTTACTGAGTTGGCGTACTCACATTGCTCCCTGCACCTTGTGTGCAGATTTAGGTGTTTCTGAACCCGGTAGCAGGTGTTGATTGCTCAGGGGCAGAGTCATCGGAGTTAGCAAGGTAGTTGCCCGACGTTCTCAGCCCTGCCCTTCTCCCTCTTGTCTTCCTTAGATTATTTTAGCATATTTTCAGACTCTTCATTGTATTCAGACCTTAGTAGATGCTCGTGACTTGTGACACCCCGATGTCGGGCTTGTGTATTTATTCCGCACTGTTCATTTAGACTTACATTATAAGATATCTGATTAATTAAAGGCTTAAAAATGATTGTTAATGATTAAATGGTTAATTCGGGAGTTGTGTCGGCTGGCCTAGTTTCACGATAGGCGCCATCACGACCGGGTCGGTTTTAGGGTCGTGACAATTTGGTATCAGAAACTAGGTTACATAGGTCTCGCGAGTCATGAGTAGGTTTAGTAGAGTCTCGCGGATCGGTATGGAGACGTCTGTACTTATCCTCGGGAGGCTGCAGAACCCTTAGGAAAAACTTCACATTCTTGAATTCTTATCGTGCGTCCTTGATTTAGCTTGAAATATAACTCTTTGAATTCCTTCCACGCATTCGTATGCGCGCATGAGCGCTCAGTACCAGATGTGCATCGATGACTTGTGATTCCCTAATCGAGGGGCGAGATGTGATCTCTATGTGTTGATGTTGGGTTAGTCTGGAAGACTTGAGGCCATATTTTGCCTATAGCTGAGCCTTGAGCTGTTGATTGCGCGAGCGCGTGTTTCTGGATCTATATGTTCGATTGTGTCCCTATTAAGGGAAGTGATGACTGGATAGTTACGTGATGAGTGTGATGTGACTACGAGATGTGTTCATATGAATTGAATGAGACAAGAAGGGTCTGTTTTGGGGCAGCAAGAACTATCTGGTGTTTTATTTCCATCGTGATTTGATGTATAGCCCCGAGTTGTGGGTGTGATGAAAGATCTTTTCATGTTGCCTAGTTGGGAAGTAAAGTAGATTTCACGTTGTGATATGAGTTCAGACTCAGGAAGATTAAATGACTGCGTAATGTTTATGACGGTAGAAGAGTATGAAGAGATGTTAGTTTGAGGCGAAGCAGGTGGGTTATCCCCTGCGGAGTGTTTTGAAGTTTGTGTGATCCGTATGTTGTTGTTGGAAGATCTCCTTTACCAGTGAAGTATATGTGTTGCAATTTAAATTTGGGTCGCTTAAGAGAGTGGGCTTGACTGTTATGAGGGTGAACGCGAGATTTGCGGAAGATTTGAAGTACTAGACGGGCTGTGTTGCACGAGCTTATGAAGGATTGAGTTTAATCTCACTATGGTATTATGACAGTAATAGAGTATATTCATTATGAGTTATTGTGTGTTTTGATCTATGGCTTCGAGCCAAGTGGGGGAGTCTACTATTGATTAGTTGATTGCACGATTATGTGCTATGATGGTTCTAGTTTGAGGCGTATCGGTGAATTAGTTATGGCTTACGGAGGTTGAGACCGAGG